TTTTTGTCATCAGGCTTTTTGGCACTTTCATAAATGATTGAGAAGAAAATAAAAGAAAATGGTGAACATTTTTGTATTTTAGTTTGCTACTTTTTCAAAATGAAACCGGTCTGGATTCCGGTCTAGATGGGAAAATCTAGACCGCGGTCAATATCGATTTCAACCAATCAAATTCGTGAATTCTGTAGTTCCCAGTCCTTGTGAGACACAGCCATATGATAAAGTTTAGTAAAACATATAACTGTTTTGTATTTACAAACTTTCAACACACAAAATTATATTCGTTTCAAAATTCCAGAATTCGCAAATTTCAGCCTCGATATCAGTATACAATATATTTTTATATATACAAAGAGTGTATGATTGTACCTTAGAACATAATAAATGCGTCCCGCTTTCCAGAAAACTCTGAAAAATGCCTTGATCTATCGAAAGGATAATGATTACTGATTAAGGAATCAACCTTCCCGTAAGCTCGCCAATTTCAACCGACTTCTCATTTGTTGCATGGCAGCTATTTCATCCTTAAAAATATGGTTAAACAAGATCGAATTAAAAACAAAAGCCCTTGTAAAACAAAATTACAAATGTCGCCTACAGTTCACCCATCAAAATACCATTTTACCATTCTAAAACTAATGTGATTTGTTTGGTCATACAACAAGTCAATCACGAAGTGTCTTGCAGAGTAGGGCACTCCATTTATATTTTGCACTTGTTTCGTATCGAAATTTAAAAAGAAAAAACAAAACACTTCCGTGATTTAAATGGTAAGAATACGTGATACACGGAACCGAATAAATTTTAAAAAGGCAGACTAAACGAGTTTCAAAACAGGCACCCATTCTTACGCGAAAACCTACGATTTAAGCAAGATTCTTCGAACTGCAATAACAAAGCAATTCATGGCTTTTTCAGCGAATATCTCCGCACAAGTCCGCAAAGAAGGTCATTATTTCTGGAGCGTCGCGCTGGTTTAAGCGGAACACTGCTACACCAGATTTCAGCTACTAAGGGCAATTTTTGCTATGATTGTAAACTATAAAAGCTAAATAATGTCTCTCTCTTACCGACGATCCATACAGATCGTCCTGTTCCAAGCTGCGCCGAAATGTCTCCACATCAATACCCTGCGCTTGTGAGGGTGACTCAAGAAATCTGTCTGGAATACGCATGCGCATGTCTGATTCAGCAAATCCGAGATCCGCGAGAAATTCCTCTGGATCCACGGTCATTGCGTTCAGCAGTGAACTCACATCATGGGAGGTCCTACATGGGAAGGTAAAAAATCAAAATGAGCGTTAACTTTGAGCGATTCTGACTAAAATTCTTAAGGCTGGTTTCCACTTGCGACGAAGTCGGGGTCGAGATCGTAGTTAGAGTCGTAAGAGCGTTTATGACCTAGTGAAAATCGAAAATCGGAGTCGTGAGCGGAGTCATAAGGTCGACGGAATCGGAGTCGGAAGAATCAGAACATTTCCATTTCTTCCGATTCCGTTTGCGACTTACTCGCTTATGATTCAGTGAAAACTAGATTGTCGAAGTTGGAAGCAGAAGCGGAAAAAACAACCAATCACAAGGCCTGGAATCGAGTATTGTGATTGGTTTATTTTTCCGCTTCTGTTTCCGACTCCGACAATGTAGTTTTCAATAGATCGTAAGCGACGGAGGATAAGCGGATGCGATGTTCTACTTCTGACTCCGTCGGTTTGCTTTTCACTAGACCGTATCGCTCTACGCTTCTGATTACGACTCCGACTATGACTTCGTCGCTGGTGAAAACAAGCCTTTATAGAACCACACCACAGCTCAAGATTCCTTACTAAAAAGTTAAATTCTCACCACTGATCGTAATACATTCGCTTAAATGTTAGTTTGGAGAATTTTGAAGTAGATCAAGGCAACAGCCGCAAGTTGATGAATTTATTTTTTCTCTTCACACGTCTGCTTGAGAGTATATTGGTAATATAAAGCGAAAATAGATTTTGATCAGCCTTAGGAGCAATGACCATACACCTTTGAGAAAACAATTCGCAAAAGCAAACAGCTTAAATTCCCTCCAAATTGTTACATTAAAAATTAAAGTCATAATCTTGTTCAAAAAACAATGCCGCGAGCTGATGCTTAAACTTGTAAGAGTAAACACATCTGAATACTCAGCAAACGGGTGAAGTATTAAAATCGTCAGTCTTGACTGCAATCTTTCACTTGTACTCAAAAAACAAGAAAAATCGTTCAATCGCAAGCGAGCTACAATCTTGCAACACGTGACTTAAAAAAAAAGTTCAACTGTTGTTGTTTATAGTGTTCAATGCGCTTAGCTACACCTAGCTAGTTCACAGGCATGCCACTTGAAAGGAAACTGAAACTTAAAAACTTAATTAAACTTAATAAGCGCTACATCTCACACTTTCGAACTGGGTTTCCTGAAATGTCATAGANTTTAAAAAGTAGTCAGACACTTTTAATACCCTATGCAGTAGGAAACCACAAACATTTTTGTCTAAAAATATATGTGAAGCATCCCTGTTATTTCTTTTACCAAGGTATGCAACATACAAAGATAGCCTGGAGCTAGTGCATTTGGTAGTCAGGCTATCTGAGTTTTGGTTTTCGGAGGTTTCTTGGAAAATTTGTGAGAGAATTCAAATTGCAGACTAAGTAGACAATGAAATTGTTTGAGGCTAGTGAGAAATTGACTGAATGCCAACGCATCAATATAATGCATCAAATATTTTCACTTGCAAAATTGTGTGTGTTTTGAAAAATATTTGAGCATAATTAATAAACACAAGAGATTCCATTTGGAGCAAAAATGTGGTCAGGTAAATATTGTCCTCCGACATTATCTGTCCCTTAAAGCTCACTGTTTTCCCCAAGCTATGCTTTTGGAAAACTGCTCCCTAATACGGCAGTCCTTTCTCCAGAATTTAAGTGCCAACTGATTAATCCTGGACCCAGATCACTATCCTCACTTTGACCAAAAAAATCTGGCCACAGGATTAGTTGATGGTAAAACAGCTTATAATAAATTACCTGCTGAAGTCTGATAAATCGGACACGCTGCTTTCGATGCTGTTAAGCCTCTCCACGCCATCCAGTTTTCTAAGGAGTCTGTGACTTTCTGGGTATCCTGTGCTCTCACTAGACGATTCATAATTAAACCTTTTAATCAAAAAAAATAAATAAACAAACAAACAAATAAACAAACAGGTCAACAAAAGTTTCAAAAGCCAGTGAAAGTTATTACAGAACGTTTGAAGCATAGGTGTTCACTGGAATTTCAAGAGGGGAATTGGTTTGCATTGATCTTGTACACTTCAGATAATAATCATTTACCTTAACTCCTTTAAATAGTTTGCTGATACCTGAGCTAAGAGTGGCAGAATTAGACCAGAGGTTATATAATTGACACAGCCCAATCAGCAAGGCCATGCTACTCACCCAGTAGATAGACTTGAACTTCCAGGGGAGGTCACTGTCGTTCCAACTGACCCAGATGAGGAAAATACCCGAGCATCAGCACCAAGAGACAAATCATCATCTAAATCAACAAGAAGCACTCCTACAAAATACAGAATAAGTAACTATCAATAACATGCAGTGAAACACACAGTTAGTGCAGTGGAACACTATTATTAATCTGTATCTCTTAATTGCAAAGTCTTGCATTTGCCATTCACCACCCCTTCTCTTAGGAGAGACAACTTTAAAGAGGAAATTAGATATTTGAGTTATTGTATGTACAATGCGTAGTTCCAGAAAATAACCATACCTCCCCCACGGAAGGGAATTTTTCTAAGGGAACCCCCCCCCCTTCCCCCACAATCCCTCTGGAAATTGTAATCCAATTAAGCTTCAATACATACATTTCTTTCAAAATGTTTTGGTCTGACAGAATGCCCACCCCCAGGAAATTCCAAACCCCTCTGTGGGGGGAGTATGGACATTTTCTGTAGCTGCACAATTAACAGATGTTTCATTTAAAAAAACCTGACTAACTCACCATTTTCAGGGGCCTGGTACATTTGTTTGTCTGTTGGGTTTGGCAAAACCTCAGTTGTAAAAACCTCATCAGTTCTGTTAATATGTGAACTTCTATTTAAGTCCATCAGTACACAATTTTGCACTCTTCATCAGCTAGCTAGCACCACCATCAGCTGCTTGCTGAGTAATTTTCATTTTCTGAAGAAAAGAAAAGAATTAAATGAGCCCTCACCTCATCAGTCCAACATGAAGCAGGCTGTCAAGAAATACAATATTACAAATGAAGTCATGTGAATTCTCTCCGAATACAAACCTCCGACTCACTAAAGACAATGACGATTTTATTCACACACAAAAAAATATAAGCTTAACAAATAATTATACAAAAATATATAATTTATGAACAATTCATCAAATTAATAATTTAATATATTCATCAAGTATAAAAACGGTGATCATAACCACAATGTTGTTTGGATATACAATCTTAAAAATATTAACATATATTTTTACTATTGAATTTCTCCATTTTCTCCATAGGTTTTAGTTTTGACTGAGAATATATATCAAACAATCAAGACTGTGTTTCATCACATTTACAAACATCACAAAAGAAAGTTCATCAAATATAATCTAGGCTGCATATCATATTTTTGGTTCTGACTTCTTAGTGTTTGGAAATGTGGTAAAACACAGTCCCTGCATGGGCTAACTGCATTCTGACAGAAAACTCTAAAAACTCCCAGATTTAGCATCAGTGGTCAGTAAATTATCCAGTTTTTTTAGCAAAAAAATATGAGTGTTTAAACTCACAAATGACTTTGAAATATTCCTGTTCATGAAACAGCAACTGAAAACAGGTTGAAATCAAATGGTGATTCTTTATAGAACACGAAATATGTATAGATCATTGATAACAAAGATAACTGAGTGAATGTTTATGCAGTAGAAAGATGTGTAAAATAAACATCTGTGCCTTTCTTGACTTGAATAATATCATGCCATATAACAGAATTCCGGGAGATGCCGATAATGTACCCTCTCAACCCCTGAAAACAAACACGCTGCCAATTTATGACTCACAAAAATACATTATTTAAAACTCCAAAATTTTACCGCCAAAAACTTATGACAAAAATCAGACTAAATAAAGGTGAATAGTGTGCTTTAAGTGCTTCCCTTCATATCCGGGAGATTTGGTGACCTGTACGCCAGACAGAGAGATTCAGTCTGTATCCAGAGACTCTTGAATAATCCAAGAGAGTTAGTACCGGATGCCATAAAGACAGCCACAAAACTATGTGAGGCAGCCTTTCATACTTGTGTTTGCATTGGTACAACTGATCTGAGAATGAGAGAACTTGAGGAAGCTTTACTGCAGTAAAATTTGTGGGAGATTTGGTGACCTGTACGGCAGACCGAGAGATTCAGTCTGTATTCGGAGACTCTTGAATAATCCAAGAGAGTTAGTACAGATGCTATATTAAAAAGACAGCCACAAACCTATGTGAAACAGCCTCCCATACTTATTATTTGCATAATGGTACCACTGATCTGAGAATGGGAGAACTTGAGGAAGCTTTACAGCAGTAAAATTTGCTATATAATTATAGAGCAATTTCCTGTTCCAAATTAAAACACCATATTCTTATGATTTAAATCTTCAATAGATTGAACCACTCCCTTACAGAGATCCAGATGAGAAATTTCTACATTCTGTTTCACTGCTAAATGAAACATGCAGCTCACCCTCCCCTCCCCTAGACGTTTTTTGGCCAGTACCATCTCTAAAATAATTTTTTTAAATTTCCAACCCTCTCTTTTTGTATGCTTTAGAAATAAAAAGAAAAATTGTGCATTCAGTCGAAGCTATAGATCATGGAACCTTTAAAGTCTGTCACATGACTACAAAACATAATTATCGTGCATAAGCCAATACATAAATGTAGAAAGAAAAACAAACCAAAGTTGGAATGATCGTTGATATTGAGCAGTCTATTTACTAATAGCTTATTTCATGTACCTTATATTTGCTTTTATCGCTTACATCGGGAAAATTTCAAATATAGCTTCGATTTTTTTCCTTTCGAGCAGTCAAACAGCAGACCCCATCTTGTGATGACTTGTAATTTGTCAGGTCTTTCAACACGAACCATTTATGCAAATTGATAGATAAGTACAAATTTGACTGTCGCTATAGTCACTTAAATTCGGTTGCATATTACCATAATTAGCTAACACTTTTATTTTTACGATTTCAGAGCGATCTTTCGCTCCGTTCGATTCGCTTGACATTCGTCATAATTTAGGCTCATTTAAGAATTTTTATCACTGACCTTTTCAACGAGAGAAGTCATAACATGTGAACAATTTGTGAATTACGCTTACATCTTTGAATATGTCCTAATCAGAAACATTAATTTAAAGTTAAACAGCTAGCTTGCTAAAAGCATATTCATAAGCAGCTTATTAAGAAAGCACGAAAGCAACGCGACAAGAACTGAATAGAAAATTTGTAACCACAAAAATTAGTTTCGTTTACCTGATGACAAAAGTGTTAATCGTCTTGAACCAACGATTTCAAAGTCGAAGCGAAAACTCCGACATAATAAAAACCCAGTTTACTCGCTTTCCAAAAGCCTGCTCGAGTATTCAAATGAATAAACGTGTTATACGATTTTAACAGTGTACTACTCTGTGGACGACAATACTCACCAAAGCTAAAACAACACACATTCCGAATACCAAAATCTCCGTGCGCAAATGAAAACACCATATCTACATCAAGTTTGCTTCCGTCCATCCGCTGACGAAACGAAACATCGCCAGATGGCGGTGGCTTTTAAAAGAATTCGACTAACTTCTTTTCTTGAGCTGGAATATGCACCTATGGTCTGATAAAATGCTGAGTTATTTACTGACTTTTGTGTATATTTACAAATACCAAAAGTGGCTCCTCATGTCGGTTCCACATGACCCGTGGTTGGAGGCCTGGCAATAGATAAACACAGGGCACCCATGCTGAAGTGCGCCCACGCAAAAAATTTCCCGGTGTTGTAAATAACCGGAAAAACTCTCATAACGCCAGGACAAAAGCTTTTGTAAACTTTTTTTTTCCTCTCCTTATTACTATTTTTTATTATTATTTTAAAGAAAGTATACAATTTTTACTGAGTGGGTCGACTGGTCGACGTTTAAAACACGGCCTTAGTTTTCACTTCCAGGTTAAAGACTCCTAATGCGGCAGTTATCGACAGCCGCTCACAAAACCATCACAAATAACCGTCACGAGGATATAATGGGCTCCTGTGATGCATTAGAAAGACTTGGTCGCGAAATGATAATAAAATCATGAAGAAAGCGGGCGACAAACTATATTTTAACTCTCAGCAACAATAATGAGTGGACACCAAGAGAAAATGAGGGGACACTGGCTAAACATAATGCTAGGCTTAAAAAGAACCGAACAACGCGCTATCTGTGGGCACATGTACATATATAGCCATTTCCAGG